AAGAAAGAAAGAAAACTACATCATTGAGGGCAGGGAGATGGCTCAGTAGAATAAGCACTTGCCTGGCAAGCACAAGGGCCTGAGTTCAATCCCTAGTTCCACCAAAAAAAAAAAAAAAAAAAAAAAAAAAAGTCAACTATGGTCTAAAAATAATAAATGGAAACTCAAGAAATAATAATAAGCTCTTATTTTCCTTCTTTCTTTCTTTCTTTCTTTCTTTCTTTCTTTCTTTCTTTCTTTTTTACCACATATCAGGCTCAGGATTGCAGCTTGTCAGGCAGGCACTGTGTCACTGAGCTATACCCCTAGCAACAGTCACCTTTCAATTGCATATTTGCCCTTCTGAGGAGAGGGATGGACTCTCACACCCTCCTGGCTGGGACATGGATGTCCCTTTTTCCAGGGTATTCTGGCTGTGGGTGCTGCCTTCCCTTCAGTGGTTTAGTAGCCACATAGGCTAGAGCTACACAGCAGGAGGTGAGTGGCCAGCCCGGCAAGGGAGTGAAGTTTCCTCTGTCCCCAGCTGCTCCCGTGGCACCAGTCACCCCCTGAGCTTTGCATCCCATAGGGTCTCACAGCAGCACAGACCCCGCTGTGAATTGTGCATGTGTGGGATCTTCCTGTCTCACACACACAGTGCACTACACATGCGCGGGAGCTTGGCCTTTTCCCTACAGGGAACTGCAGATGCATAGGATCTAGGTTATCAGATGGACCATCGCATATTGTCCCTGCGTGTGTTCATGTAATGCTTTGCCTTTTGTTTTTAGCTCAGCAATGGCCCCAAACCTCAGGAGTAGTGATGTAAAGAAGACACTAGCATTAACCACTAAGAAGAATATATGCAGTGTATTATTTGTTGAAAAATAAAAAAAATAAATAAATAAAATAAATAAATTAAAAAAAAAAAGAAGAAGAAGAAGACACTAGGGCATAAAGCACGGGAGGACAGATGGGCCTGGTACTAGAGGCCAGCGGTGCAGGAGTATAGGAAGAGCCTTGGTATAAAGGGCTCCCTCCTCTCTGCGGCTCCAGACAGCCTTGTGGTGTGTGGGACCTGTTTTCTGTGGACAAGGGGGACTGCTGCGTGCTCTTCTAGACCTTCTGAGGTCCCCAGAGCATAGCAATGAGGGAGGTACTGTTATCCCCATGAAACGGGGAAAATGAAGCCCAAAGAGGAAAAGCGAC